CCTCCTCCCTCCTCCCTCCTCCATTCTCCATCCTCCATCCGCATCCTCATCCTCATCCTCATCCTCATCATCCTCATGTCCTCGTCCTCCTCCACCTCCTCGGGTGCACGCGCTTTAGGTGCACTCCTCACAGGGCGGCTCGACCCGCTCTAGAACGGTACAACAACGCGTGGATATACGACTCCCGTTACATAATAATTGTCTCCCTGCCGCCCCCCCCCCTCCCCATCCCCGCCTCGCCCCGCTTCCATCCGCCGGCGAGCTGCGCAACCGATTCATCCTGCTGTGTGTCCCGCGAGTCCGCCCGCCGGCCCCGCCGTGCAACCCTCCGGATTACCGAACGGCACCTGATGTTGAAAACGCTCCCCCATATTACAGGCAGGTTTTGTTTTGCTGCTGTTTGCCAGCAAAACCGATAAGCTGTGTGTTAACTATCGTACGCCATCTCAGCAATTGGTTTACTGAGCCAAAACCATTTTTTATTTTTTTCGTGTGGATCGTGAACGTATGGTTGTTGGACGGAAGTCACTGCGGTCAGCAAGGCAGCAGGAGAGAGGAGCAGTGACGGGACGACGAGAGCTTGATCACAACAACTGGTTTTATTGGCGCCTTTGACAGGGTATTTAAGTGACAAGACAAATGGCGAGTGGCAGTGTCTTCAGATCACTACAACAGACGATAGGCAGCCCCCTGCACGCGGCGCAGTATATATCTGCAACAGTGGGCGGGGGCTTTCAGCGACCTGGCGTGATGGTGGTGAGTCAGCCAGTCGTTCGTTATCGTTTGCCATAGGCGCCTGTCTGGTGCCTAGTGGTCCCAAGCAATTTTATTTATGGCCAGAAAAAGTTATGATGATAATATTGCATCAACAAACAGTTTGATGGTGGTCCCTGAAGTCGATACTACTCATTCATTCTTTCCGTCGTTCCGTGTTTCGTTGTGTTGAGGAGGGCGTCAGTAATGTGGTGTCGCTGTAGGGAGGGTGAAGGTGTGAGCACAAGTTGCGCACTTGAGTGTTTACCAGTCGCGCGCTTGGTTTATCAGTGCGCTTACTGCTGCTCGATACGAGCGAAGTAGTGGACTTAGTCTGGTACAGTGCTGGCCCAGAGAAACCAGCCCGTATTCATTTTACGAGTGCGCAAAGTAAAGATTTACACTTTGTAGTCATCTCAACCAAAAGATCCTGTAAAGCTTTTGCATCTGAATACCCCGCGCTCGTCGGCGCTCGCCGGCGGGACTTGGCCAGGGCTGGCCGGACGCCCGGGGGATACCCGGGAGGCAAGGCAGGCAGAGTCCCGGGCGGCAGGCGGCGCACGTGGAGCAAGTGGGGCGTGGGCTTTTACATAATGCGCCGGGCCACGTCACTGCTCACTACTCGCCGCCCCCGCACCACGCCACTGCTCACTACTCGCCGCCCCCGCACCACCCCACTGCTCACTACTCGCCGCCCCCGCACCACCCCACTGCTCACTACTCGCCGCCCCCGCACCACGCCGCTGCTCACTCCTCGCCGCCCCCGCATCACCCCACCGCTCACAACCCGCGCGCCACAAAGTGAGCAGATGAACTGGGCTGTCGTCCCTCCACCCGCCTGTTGCTTGCCATGCTGCTCCGCTAACAGGGTGTTTTATGCCCAGTCCAGCGTGCTCACTGTCACGACGCTCTGTGAGCCTGGTTTGTTTTATTTTTGCGATGAGGTCATGGGAAGCACTGGGCCTGCCCCGCGGGGCGTCGCGCGGCGCCTGGCCGTTGAGCCGCGCGGCGCCTGTAGGAGTGGCGATGGGCGTCTCCGCCGGCCGGCCTCCGTCGTGGGAACCGCGCCGACGCGTCACGCCCCGGAATAACTGAATGAAGATTCCGCCTATGAATGGCGTTTATTTACAAAAGTTGATCCCCTCTTCTTCCAGAGATCTGGTTTCGGTAAGGCTTTGCGTCAGTGGCTCGTTGCTTCCTTTGTTACGTCATGACACTTGCAAATGCTGAGGGGTCCCGGAGATTACTTTTGGGGGGAAGAGGGGGCGTCTAACGCCCCCCCCCCCCTTCCGGGGAGGGCCTGATCCGAGGGGTACATCACTCCGATTCTGGGCGTACACCTACTTTTAGTCGTTTTTTTTTGGCCGTGACTTTTTGACTTTTTTTGACTTTTTTTTGTACTTTTATTTGACTTTTTTTTTGACTTTTTGATCAAATTTATTTGACTTTTATGATTCTTTCCCTGCTATTTTTTTTAAAATAAGGGAGAGTTGTAATTTTTGGGCTAGTAATAAGGTTTTTCCAAGACTTTTTGGTACTATTGATAGCATGAATCGAATAAGAAGAAAATTTGTCATCATAGTACACCCCCTAAGTAAGAAAAACAAGGTATTTTCAGGATTTACGTTTTTTGGTGAAGAAATCCCATGAAATCCGATAATTTTATTTTTCTCACATCACCCACCACCCACCCCCTCCCTCGTTAAAAGACACTGATGTAGGACTTTCCGATATACAATCAGAGTTCCGTAGCTTTTTGGCCTCTTACAGGCAGATATTGCACTCGCGCATGTTGACTTTTTGTTGACTTTTTCAGTGCCTTTTCTCTGACTTCTCGTCGACTTCTCGTTGACTTTAATTGCCTTTTTTTTGACTTTATTTGACTTTTTTGACTTTATTTGACTTTTTTGACTTTTTATTTGACTTTTTTGACTTTTTTTTTAACTTTTCAAATGACTTTTTGACTTTATCTTGACTTTTTTCTTGACTTTTTTAATCGCGTACACCTACTTTTAAGAGTGGTGTACCCCTCGGCCTGATCCCAGTTCCTGTCATCCCCTTGGGTCCTTTCAAAATCGCCTATCCTTCATCCTGTCACGTGTCGATTCCTCCGAAATCTTGAGAAATACGATGAAATCCTGCAAAATTCTGCGTTCCAGATGTACAACCACAAAGATGTAGTTGTGGCCCCCCGCTGGCAGTACTTACTCTAAGCAGCTCAGCTTGCTCCGTCCACCCTCCCCTCTTGCCCCGGAGAGCGTCTCCTGCTACGACAGGGCGCGGGGGGCGATCTCCATCCCGTCCTGTCCTGCCTCTGCCGAGTCTCCCTGCTCCTCTATGTTGCGCGCTATTACTGCTGCTATGTGGCTCAAGCTCAAATACCTCGCGCGTAGCACGCCGATTAACGCTTTAGCTCCGCCAGCGACATCAAACAGCAGCACCTTCACAATTAGGATCCCTAGCCACTCATCAGCGGGGTATGTAGACCCGCCGCGGACGATTATCCCGCGCGTGTAATTGCGAGAAGATCGATCCGTCATCATTGGGTGATTTATCTTCAAAATTGCCCAGTGGCGAGGTGAGCCGCCCGCACACCGCTGGACGTCGGACACAATCGCCTTCAGCGGCGTCACGGCGTCACCTCCGCTTCTCGATCATAAACTAAATAACGTCCCGGCCGCGCCAGCGCGCCAGGAGAAATGCTTCACGTTGAAGCAGCGATTTATTACGATTTATTTGCGCTTTTTCGAAGAGATTTTCACAGCACCGGTCGGTCGAGTTGCAGAGTGCACCCAGAGAACCATTAAGTTGATACAACTAAATCAGGGTTGTAAGAAACAATATTTAGTTCCTAAATCCGACTAAAATTTAGTAACCCCATTTTTAACTAAA